GTGAGAATCAAATGAATCACTGAATCTCTTTATACGAATGTCTGCAGTTTCTCTTTCCCTTAATTCAATTGAGATCTGATCAAGGTTAAAAAAAAAGCTTTCTAATGAATTGCATATTTAGGTGACATGTATGTGGTTCTTCCAAATTGGCAAAACCAGGGGTGGGGAGCCTTCGGCCTTTTAGGTACTAGGTCCTTCTAGGCCATATGGCCTTCTAGGTCCTTGGGTGCATTTGACTGAATCCAAGTTTTACAGAATAAATCCTTTTATTAAGGGGATTTGTTCTGTGAAATTTGGATTCAGTCAAAGGGCTGCACATGAGGACCTAGAGGACCATATGTGGCCTCGAGGCTGCAGGTTCCCCACCCCCTCATGAGCAACTCAATGTCACTGTATTACAAATATTATTGTCCTGTTCTTCAGATGAGGGAACTGACATTGGGAAAGACAAAATCACTTGCCTGAGTTCTTTTTTGTTAACTAAGAGAGGCATAAAACTCTCTAGTTAGCAAGGCAGAGGAGGAAGAGAATTCTTTTATTGAAAAACATGTGATCCTCTCTCTCTCAATCAGTCAACCAGCAGTTTATGAGGATTCTTCTATGTGCCAGATAGTGTTGTTTTAGGCACTGGGGAGGTAGTAAAAAAATTAACGGGGTCCCTTCCTTCAAAGAACCTAATTTCTACCTAGAGTAGCAGCATTTACCTAGGTAAGTAGAAGCACATATGAGGTAAAAACAAACCAATTTCAAGAAATGGGGCAGTGATCACCCTGGGCTAGGATCCTTTGGTGTGGGTAAGTCTGGTTTATCAGGCAGGTAAACATAAGCCTCCTTTATCTCTAGCTAAGGGTCTCAGTCTAACCTTAGCTAGTGGCACTTGGTTTTAAATGGTTGGGCCAATTTAGGATCCTGGAGCAAGTCCTCTTCAGGACTCCATACTCAATATCATTTTCCAGATATCAGAACTGTGCTCCCTTTAGCTTCTTGTATTTGGTTCTTGCCACCTTGAAATTTTGACATCTTCACAGTACTTTAAATAATACAGTAATCAGGTTAAATACAATGGACTTTGCTGGTACCATTCTATTGAGGTTAGAACCCACATCCTTCCTTTCTGTTAACTATCAGTAAACTACAAGTGCGTAAAGTAACTTGTACCGTCATCTCACGACTGAATGCCTTTGCTTAGCTATTTTTAAAAGAATGTACTTTGTGGAGAGCCTGTGTTTATTTAGCACAGTGCCTGGCACAGAGTATGTGCTACATAAATGTTTGTACACTGAACGACTCACCTCAGTGCCTAACATTTATTACTGCCAGGTGCTAACTGAAATCCTTTCTTGCTCCAGCAAAAGTCTATTTCCTCAGTGGAAATGAAGAACATTGGGATTCAGATTGTCTTCCTGGCTGCACTTCCTACCCTGGAGGTTTTCACGTTGGTGCTTGGCTAAGGTTACCCCAAGAATCTAACAATTGAGGTGTTCCCAGGCCAGGCCAGTACAGGAACGCAGCCTGCTCTGCTGGAAGGTCCAGGCCCACTCTTCAGGGTCAAAGATTAATAAGCTTATTAAATGAATGTTTATTGACCACTGGCTCTCTGCTGAGCACTGACATTTACTCCCAAGTAGCCAGACTACCAGGTTTACATTGACAGGACTGATGCAGTGTAGGGCTTCTCTAGAATTATGGCCCATCTCTCCTCAAACTGAGTAACTGCCTGGTATTTGGAAAGGACCCTTTCTGTCCTCATTAGAGGGGTGAGCAAATGTGAAGGGAATGAGAGCTGGAGAAGCCAAGGGAAAAGAGGGTGGGGTCTTGCCAGGAGAGCTGGCATATATAAGCTTTTGAGTATCAGCACTGGCACACTGGGTCAACCCCATGGTCCATGAGGGAATTTTGTGGGGTAGTGGGAAGAATGAGGAATTTGAGATCAGAAAACCTAGATTTGAGTCTCAACTTTGCTGCTTATTAACAATTCAATTCAATTCAACAAAAAATTATTAAATGTCTGCTATGTACAAGCCAGGCAGAAGAAGTTATTAGGGGAAATTCCAAAGGACCTAAGAGGGAATGGGATTAAGGACATGAGTACAAGTGCACCTTTTCCTTGTGAAGGTTTCCTGATTCTCTGAGACTGTGTCAAACTTTGAAGAAACAATGGAAAGCTGAGGGAGCTGATGGTGGATGGCATCAATCTCCTCAATAAAATAGGAGATATAATCATCTGAAGAAAGAGAGATGAAGTGAGGGCAGAGCTGGGTGCTTGACAGAGGAGAAGGCTTGGGACAGCTTTGGTGGCAAATGTCATAGGGAGTTAATCAAAGATGAATTAAATGATTACTGTGCAATGGTGAGGTCCCAGATGAGGCAAGTAACACAAATTTGTATTAGACTGGTCTGCACAACTTTGTGAATCCTTCCAGCAATCTTCAGAGATTTAGAAGTAGAGAATGCCAGAAGAGAGATGGTGGAGGTAGCCCAGAATTGAAGGTTAGCAGCTTGTAAATGAATATTGGGCAAAGGGGCAGTGGATTCAAGGTGAATGGTGGTGCTTTGCTAAATTTATTGACTCTAGGGTCAACATCGAAGGGTGTAAAGTGAGACTAGAGTTTATGGACTAGAAGACTGAGGGAAGATTGAAGATCAGAAATTGTGGTGAGGGTTAAGAGAAGGTGCAGAAGGAGTGAGATAGTGGAGAGGTGGAAGGACAGTCGAGGGTTGAAATTGAAAGAAAATTTTAGGGTTGAAGATATTAGAGGTAAGAGAGTGTTATAAGAGTCTTCCTGGGGGTGACTGAGGTAGAGAAGAGATGAGTTTTTGGAATTAAAGAGGTTGATGAACACCATCAGTCTGGATATTAAAACTGCCAAGGATAAGAGCGGAGGTTGGGGTGAAAAGGAAAAATGTGAACCCCTAAGTCTCCCAGAGCTCCAATTTCCTTGTCTGTAATATGGGACAATCATATTTGTACTCCCCACTTGTATCCCACAAAGTGGACCCCCTAACCACTCTCTCATAGAGTTTTGGTGAAGAAATTACATTATATTTGTATGTGTGTATTATGTATAACCTTTATCATAGCATCATAGATTTTAAGTTGGAAAGGATGTTGGAGTCATTTAGTCTAGTCCTCTCATTTTAAAGGTGAAAATCTGAGACCCAAAGAATTGAAGTGACTTGTCCCAGGTCACTCAGCTCATAAGGTCTGATGTAGACATTTAAACCCAAGTGTCCTGTTTCAAAGTCCGCTCTTCCATGACGCCTCTATGTAATAATCACCAAACAAATGCTAACCATTAATAGCAATATTTTGTTTCCACTGAGGCATCAGAGCACAGGTTGTGGGGGGATGTGGTTATTCTTCTTCATGTCAACCTTAAATACCATTTTTATATAGAACTTGAAGGTTTGCAAAGCACTTCTTATAACTTTAGGAGGTTGATAGTGTGAGTATTATTATCTTCATTTTGCTAATTAAGAAACTGAAACTCAGAGAACTCAAGTTGACTTGCCCAAGGTCACACTTTCAGTATGTGTCAGAGCGGGCACCTGAATCCAAATCTTCTGATCTTAAATCTATTGCTCCTCCTGGGTGTCCTGTGAGGCCTTGACTTCCACCTAATAACTCAATATGGAGCCAATGAATCTATCAATCATGGATTTACCCAATCTCTGTTTTAGACATGTACCAAGTCCAGGGGTAGCATGTGAAAAGATGAATTAAATGATTACTTGGTAATCATTCATATTCTTCATCCCTTAATTCAATTGAGATCTGATCAAGGTTAAAAAAAAAGCTTTCTAATGAATTGTATATTTAGGTACTAGGCAAGATTCTCACCGGATCAGCAGAAATCCTACGGTTTTTAGTGGGTGCTGTGTTCTTTCGGTTGGCATAACGTAAGGCATACGTGCAGGGAGGGACTTGAGGAGGCATGGTCTTGCTCCGAGCTACAGGCTTCCCAGGGGTGTCCTTGCCAAATCCCAGGAGCCCTCAGCCCTCTTTCCAGCCCCTCTTGGGATCCTGAAGCAACTCAGTGTCATAGGTAGACTTCAGGTTGAGGCGAGTTATTGCATCATTGATGCCATCATAGTCCACAGACTCCAGGAGGTTTTCATGTGAAGGGAATGAGAGCTGGAGAAGCCAAGGGAAAAGAGGGTGGGGTCTTGCCAGGAGAGCATATTTCAGACACATTCTACTACAAACCTGTGTAGCCAACAAGGGAAATGGTATTATTTTCCTTACAGAGTTATGTGGAAAGTGCTTCACAATTAGAAAAGTGTGATATAAATGCTAGTTGTTTTTTTCATATTTCATATGTTTATTACCTGTTGGGTAAAACATTACAGTGAAATGCAACAAGCACTTATTAAGGCTCCTAGTGTTTTGAGATTTGGTGAATGAATCCATGTTAACTTTCTCTATATCCCTATGATTATTAACACTTTAATCATATTCCCTCTCATCCTTTGTCTTTCTGGAAGGAAGAGTTCTAATCTTTATAGTCTACTTTCTAAGTAAATGGTAGGAGCTATTTCTTCTTGGGGTGTGTTATAATAATAATAATAATAATAATAATAATAACTAACATATGTCCCTTTAAGGTTTGCAAAATGCTTTACAAATATTTCATTTGATCCTCACAATAGCTCTGGAAGGTTGGCATTATTATACTTAAGAAAAGGAGTTCAGTGACTTACCCAGGGTCACACAGCTAGCAAGATTTGAAAGCAGTATTTGAACTCAAGCCTTCCCGACTTCAGGTCCAGTGCCCTATCCATTGTGCCTCCTAGCTGCCGTGTGTGTCATGGTGTATGTGTGTGTTTATGTGATGGGATGGAGAACCAGAGGTCTCTTTCCCCAACTGGCTTAGTCCTGAACACTGAGGAAACAGAAACTGGATCTGTTAAGTTCTCTTTATATAGCAATTAATGTGCAGTTAAATTATCATAATAAGCTTCCTGATGATTGACCGGAGTCTTTGTTTTCTCCTTGACAGGTGCCTGGGCACCATGCCACAATCCATAAGCCCTGAAGTTGGCAGGAAGTAACAGGCTCACTTACCTGTTCTCCATCTAGCTCCACCATGTCTTCAACCCAAGGGAATGGGGAACACTGGAAGTCCCTGGAGTCTGTGGGCATTAGCCAAAAGGAGCTGGCAATGGCTGAGGCTCTTCAGATGGAGTATGATGCCCTGTCCCGGCTGCGGCATGATAAAGAAGAGAACCGGCGGGCCAAGCAGAACACAGACTCCTCTCTTATCAGCTGGGATGGGCCTGTCCTGGACTTCTATGGCAAGCCAGTGGGTGGGAAGAACGACCTTCAACTTCTTCGAGGTCTCTCAGGCTCTGATCCCACCCTCAACTACAACTCCTTCTCCCCACATGATGGAGCCCCTAACCACTCTACCTCTGAGGGCCTCCAGCCGGGACCAGATCCTTGGCTGAAGGGCCCCCTCTCTGGAGACTATCTCTATATTTTTGATGGTTCAGATGGAGAGCTCTCTCTGCCTCCGAGGCCAGAGGACAGGAATAGCTCCCCCAAGAAGCTGTCCCCACCCCCGATTCCTCCTCGGGTTTCTATCTGGGATACTCCCCGCCAGCCTCCCAGTAAAACCTATTCCCTTTCTCCTAAGCCTTCCGAACCCAATGACATAAACACTTTTTCCTCAAACCGGCAACCCCCCAGAAAGCTTCTGGGTCATCGAATCCTAGAGGAAGAAGAAGAACCCGAGAATGGGGGCCAGGAAAACCTCCTGGAGTCTGTGGACTATGATGGCATCAATGATGCAATAACTCGCCTCAACCTGAAGTCTACCTATGACACTGAGTTGCTTCAGGATCCCAAGAGGGTCTGGAAAGAGGGCCGAGGGCTCCTGGGATTTGGCAAGGACACCCCTGGGAAACCTGTAGCTCGGAGCAAGACCATGCCTCCTCAAGTCCCTCCCCGCACGTATGCCTTACGTTATGCCAACCGAAAGAACACAGCACCCACTAAAAACCGTAGGATTTCTGCTGATCCGGTGAGAATCTTGCCTATACCTTTCCTTATTCCCTCTTCCTCCCTCCATCTCTCTTTCTCCCTTCCCTACTCTCTTCCATAGGCTTAGGATATCCCTATCTTCAGTGTGCTGAATCTCAAGCTTATGGGTTCTGGTGTCATATTCTGGTCCCTAAGCACAAATGTAGAAGGATTAAATACGGGTGGGATGACGTGGAGTTTAAGATGTTGGCATGACTGGAAGAGGAAGGTGGAGAAGAGTAGAGTACAGCCACAGTCCCTCACTAGGGCACATTTGGCCATCTTGGCCAAAAAAGAGTTAAAAATAAGCCTCCCATGGGTTCTGATCCCAAACACTGCCCCAAACTAGCTGTGTGACTTAGCAAATCATTTCAACCCGGTTTTCTCATCAATTAAATAGAGATAATAAACATAATTATGATAAAAAAAAACTAGCATTTATATCACACTTTCCTAATTGTGAAGTACTTTCCACATAACTCTGTAAGGAAAATAATACCATTTCCCTTGTTGGCTACACAGGTTTGTAGTAGAATGTGTCTGAAAGAATTTGGAAAAAGTGAAAAATTTTATATGAGCATAAGATAAAATGATTTGCCATCATTATTATTATTGGTAGGGACTCTCACATTTCCCCCAGACCAAGAGATAGGAATGATAGAGTTCTTTGTTTGAAGTTGAGAGGACCTGGGTTCAAATTCTGACTCAGACATTTACTAGCTAGGTGACCCTAGGCAAGTCACTTAACCTCCTTGAGACTGTTTTTTCATCTATAGGGATAATAGCACTTGCCCCAATTTTTTTGGGGGGGTGGGGGTTGGTGTTCAAATCAGGGAATGTGTGTAAGGTCCTTTGCTGGTGTTAAAATTCTATTTAAATGTTAGCTGTGATTATGAAGATGATTCCCCCAACAAAGCATCCTCATCCCCATTATCCATTGTGCAGATAATAGTACAGCAATTTTTTGTTGTGTGAAGAGCAGGGTGGTTCCTGATTCTAGACAAAAATGTCTGGGGGCATCTCTACAGGTGGGTGGGGATCTGGTCCTCAATCGTAGGTTCCCAAGTCTGGGAGCTTCCCATCTGTCCACCTGAAACACTTAGGCCACAGAATATGTCATGACTTGATGTTTTCTATAATTGTCCCTATCCCACCTACCAGTTCATGTCCCCATTGGGAATCTAGGAGACCCCCATGGATGACATGCTTATCTCTCTGTGTCCGGCAGTCAAGAGCCATCCAAAATCTGATTATGAGATCACTCTCCCTCCCTCAAGGGATGCCCCCAGAAAAGTAAAACTGACTCTGCTCAACGCTAGAGCTGGGAGCTTTTTAAAGCCCCCTGATCAGAGAGGTGTGGCTGTTCCCGCTATTTTTAGGGGCTGGGTGATTTCTGCTCCTGGATCCTGCTTTCTCAGCTGGGTGAGCTGTGCCTGTTTGTCGGCTATCCTGGCAAGGGGGTGTTACCTCCTGCCTCCCTCCCTCCCTCGGTGCCTGGCTCCAGTGTGTCACCAGAGCTGAAGGAGAGAGCTGCGAGTCTCCTTGAAGAGCCTAGGGCAGAGCTGGCAGCTCTTGCCTGGGGCAGGGTGGAATGCAGCCTCCGTCTTCCCTGCCCCCAGTCAGTTCAGGAGCTAAGCCTGATGGAAGAGGGGCTGCCAAAGACCCTCCAGTTCCACCTCCCAGGTTTCATCGGGCTTCCAGTCAGGGGCACTGTCCCTGTCCCAGGCCAGTAGAGCCAGTGATAGGAATGGCTGGCTCTAAATGTCAGCCGGATGCCCCTGCTACCAGTCTCCGCCTCATAGGCTCCCTCAGTCAGCAGTGGGTGATGCCACCAGGGCCTGCCAGCCTAGTTAACGTAAGTGGGTTTTGTCGTTGTTGTTGTTTTCCTTTGGTGCCAGTGAGTGGTTCTGAAAGGGCATGAAAATGGCCTTCAGCAGCCGCTCTGTTCTCCTGCTTTCTCTCCCTCTCTCTCTCTCCCTCCCTCCCTTCCTTTCTCTCTGGTGCTATTCTGTGGGCTAATTGCTGACAGTGGGGCTATTGTTTTGACTAGGACACATGCACAAACTTGGCAGAGCTGGGGCCTGGCACACCGCGGGCTCCTGCTGTTGCCTCCCCCATCTCCCTCTGTCTGGGGAGTATGGGTAACAAGAGAGAGAGGAGATCTCCTGGAGGAAGTGACCTGGGTATTAGAATCAGGAACTCCTGCTGATTCTGTAACCACTCATCTCTCTGTGAGGGGAAGTAGAAAGAAAAGGCAGTGAGAATATCTTGTGTCAGGGGAAGTGAAAAAAGAGGGCATCAAGAATAGTGCCCTTGACCAGTTTGTCCTATCTGGAGGCTTGTTCCACAGTCAGTGTGATCCGCAGGCTTTGACCCAAGGCACAGCCTTCTGGATAGGTGCCATTGTGCACATCACCCTCCATCAGCACACCCACCCCCACCCCACTCCATTTTCTGTCCTAGGACTGTGCTACAGGGTATAGTTTGAGCTTATTAGCAACCTGCATCCTCTCTCACCCTAAGTCTGACTACAGCTTTGTGGTGGGGGCATAGGCTGCAGTTCTCTAACCCCCTCCTTTCTCTCCACCCTACTCTCCTCACCATTCTTGGTGCTGAAGCAGGCATTAGGAAGAGGCTCAGCTTAGGTGAGAGAGTCTTGGAACCAGAGGACTCCGGACCTGGAGAGAAGCCAGAGGTTTCCATTTGGTTCACTTCAGCCCTGAACAGCTGTTTTTTGCTTTCTTCCCCAAATAGTATCTACTAAAAAAAAAAAAAAAAAGCCTGCGTGTCTGAGTCAGTGATCTATGAATTCTAGGGCTTGGTACTGTATTTATAAGGGACTATTCTGCCCTTCATTGACTTTTATTTAGGGTCGGGCATCTCCAAAGTAGGTTTGAGTGGATATCCAGTTGTCTGAGGTCAGGGGTAGGGTTCGTTTGTCTAGGGATCATCAAGTGGTCAAAAAGATGCTGTGTCTATTTTCTACCCCACCGCTAGCCTTGAGAGTCTGGCAGCCTGGGGTCATGGGAATCCCCATTCTGCTAGGCTGGGGCCAGCCGGGTAACTCTGTAGATAAAGCTTTGGACTAGGAATTAGAGAGGTCAAAGCTCAAATTCTGCCTCAGAGTCCCTCTTGTGATCCTAGGCAAGTTATTCCTCCCCTCTCAGTCTGTTTTCCTCATCTGTAAAATGGGAATAATAATAGCACCTACCTTACAGGCTTGTTGTGGGAATCAAAATCAGAAAACGTATGTAAAATGCCTTGCAATCCTGAAGAGGCTATATAAATGCTGTTATAATTATTATGTAAGCCTGCCACTTCTGAACCCAAACTGTCCCCAGAGCTTATATCCTTTATCTTCAATTCAGTTAGTTCTATAATAGGGTCTGGGCCAACCTTGAGTCTATTTGATTTTCTTGGGCCCATTATCAGAAAGAGAAGATCCCAGAGTGGAAATGGTATGGGAATGGGAGGGAGAGGGGGAACCCAAGGATGAAAGGCCATTAAATCCAGGCAATCTTTCCCTAAGGTGAGCCCCCGGCCCCGATCTAATGCCAATGGCTATGAGCTGTTTGAAGTCTCGGAGGAGAGGGATGAGGAAGTCGCCGCGTTTTGCCACATGCTGGATGTGTAAGAAGGGATGGGGTCAGGGATGGGGTTTGGTGGGGGAGGTGTGGTGGAAAGGTTAGACCACTTGTATCCAGATCTCCTATGAGACCCCAGTCCATAGAGGCAGAATCTTCTCTTAAATGGGCATTTCAGACTGTGAAGTTGAAGACACTTTCTTATGTTAAAAGATAATAGAGGCAGCTAGGTGGTAAAGTAGATAGAGCACCAGCCCTGAAGTCAGGAGGAACTGAGTTCAAATCTGGCCCCAGACACTTACTAGCTGTGTGACCCTGGGCAAGTCATTTAACTACAATTGCCTAAAATTTAAAAAATTAAAATAAAAAGATAATAATCACACATGAGTGGAACCTTGAATCAAGGCCCTGTAGTAGTATGTTTGATTTCTAGCACGATCCCTGATGGCACTTGGGGAGAAGTGCACAACTATGGATTTGAGGGTAAGAGTAATGTTAGAGTTAGCCAGTGAGGAACTGAATCCTCAAGTAATATATGCTCATACAAACTTGATATAGAAAAAGAAAACATCAAGCAATCAACAAACATTTGTGTTTGGTGCTGGGGAGTCAGAGACAAAAGTCTCTGTCCTCAAAGAGCTTACATTTTAATGAGGGGAACAACATGTCCATCCATAAATTGGCACCCAAAAGATACACAAAGGCTAGATAGAAGGTAATCTTACAAGGGAAGCATTAGCGGCTGGGGAGACTCGATCTTGAAGGAAGCTAGTAACTTCACAAAGGGCAGCAGCTCGTATTTATATAGACTTTCTCCTCTTCGATGAAAAGCAGAAGAGTTTGATGGATTGTGTGCTGACCTCTGAGTGAGAAAGCTATGGACTCAAGTCCTGCCTCTGACACAGATGGGCAAATCACTTTATATCTCAATGTTCTAAGCAATTCTCTAAGACTCTAAGAGTCAAAAAAGGTTCTTTACTATATTGTTTGAGGGAATTTCCCCACCCTGTATCAGTGGTATCACAGGTATAGTCCCTATCTTTTTTCTGGTTGTATCTGTAATTATGTACATTTTTTCTTCTTCGTGAATCCTTAGATGTTCATGCAAAGCAATTTGAAAAACCCTGGCTTAGGTAACCAGAGACTGTGAGTGCCTATTAGGTACCTCCAGTCTAGGTTCTGATAATTATGCTGGGGAGTGGTGGGTATTGTTTTGTGTGTGTGGGGGGGGGGGATACCCTCCCCACAGGTTATGTCTTTGTGTCCTGAGATGTTGTTACAGAGAAAGGTACTTCCTCTTCCTTCTTGTTTCTAGTCTTCGGTCTGGCTCTGACATCCAGGACTATTCCCTCACTGGCTACGTCTGGAGTGCTGTCAACCTGAGTCCAGAACACCTTGGTGCTGGGGTGAGCCTCAAGGTGACCGTGGTGTGTGAAGGCTTACAAGAGCCACTCACCTTTACCTGTGATTGTAAGTCAGTTATTTGATGGCTGTGACCTCCAGTTAGCATGTCAGGTTTGGCAGGCCCTCGTGATTTTATGCGATACTGATGATCTGAAGGGGAGCCTTGAGGTGGGGAGCATAGAGATAAGGGCCAGAAGCTGCTTAGGGTGAGATGGCTGGTGGAAGGAGGAGGGGAAAGGAGGAGATAAGAAAAGGAGCACAAGAGAAGCTGGAGGGAGAGAATGCTACGCCAGATTGCTTCAGCATCTCTTCCCTCTCACCCACTCCTTATCAGAGTGCACCCCTGGCCTTGCCTCAATGAGGCATTTTGCTAGGGTGGGCAAAGAGGGTCTAAAGACCAACCGTAGTTTCAGAGGACTCATAATGAAACATGCTGCCCACCTCCTGACAAGAAGGCCATGGACTCAGTGCAGATTGAGACTTCCTAATGCAGAAATTTGTTTTGATTGACTATGCATGTGTGTTAAGAGTGGTTTTTGGGTTCAGAATTCAGAAAAGAATTGAGTAGGGTCAGAGGAAAGAAGGCAGATTTTCATTGATTCGGAAAAAAAAGATTTAATTAAAAAGAGGGTCCAAATAACCTCAGGTGACTGGCTCTGGAACAAGGGATCTTAGACTGACAGGAATCGTGGACTTCAGAGGTCATCTAATCCAACCCCCTTATTTTACAGATGAGGAAACTGAGGCCCGGGGAAGTTAAGGGTCCAAGGTCGAAAAGGTAGTAAGTATATGTGAGGTTTGAGTTCCCCAACAGGACTCTACAGCCTGTTCCCTCAGCAGAGAGCTAGAGCATTAAGCCAGACATTCTGGGTTCAAATTCTGATTGTCCTTCTAAACTAGCTGGGTAACTTTGTGCAAGTAATTTGATTGTTACAGGCCTCAGTTTCCTCTTCTGTAAAATAATGAGGCTGGCCTAGATAACTTCTAGGATTCTTTCCAGCTCTGAAATCTATGATTCTATGAGTTGAAAGGATCAGGTAAGACAACAAAGGTACAGTGGAAAGAACATTGACCTTGAAGTCAGGATAACCCTAACTTTACTGTTATGTTGCTGTACAAACTTTTTTTTTTTAATGTAGCTGAATAGTATTTCCATTCATTAGATGTAATTTTCAAAAAATAAATTTGTTATTGTTAGCATTCATTTTTTAAAAATTTTGAGTTCCAAAATCTTTCCCTCACTCTAGTCGCTCTGCTACCCATTGAGAAGGCAAACAATGTGATATCAATCACACATGTGAAATCATGCAAAACGTATTAACATATTAGCCATGTTGCAAAAAAAAAAGATGAGAAAAATAAACTGAAAATATGATGCTTCAGTATGCACTCAGAGTTCATCAGTTCTCTCTCTAGAAGTGGTTAGCATTTTTCATCATGAGTCCTTTGGAATTTTCTTGGATCACTGTCTTGATCAGAGTAGCTAAGCCTTTCACAATTGATCATTGTTACAATATTGCTGTCACTGGGTACAATGTTCTCTTGGTTCTGCTCACATCACTTTGTATCAGTTCATATCTTGCTCATCATTTCTTATAGCACAATAGTATTCCATCACAATCATAAACCACAACTTGCTCAGCCATCCAGTTGATGGACATGTTTACTGTATTACCTTAGGCAAAGCATTTCACTTCCATGGGCAATTTTTTCATCTTTTTAATGAGGAAGCTGGAGTAGGTTATCTCTAAGGTCCCTTCCAGTTGTGACAATCTATAAACCAAAGAGCCAAACTCTGTTGGCTGCCTCTTTTACTGGTTAGAAACAGTCAGCCAGAGGAAGCTAAGTTGGAATGAAAGAGTGAATGAAAAGGCATTTATTTTAATGTTTACTATGTAGATATAATTTATTATGTAATTTACTACGTAAATGTGAATGCTAGCCTTTATCGTAGCGCCCGGGATACCAATACAAACAGAAAGATATCCCTGTGCTCAGGAAGTTTACGTTCTAATAATGAAAGTCGGCATATCTAAGAGAATACTGACCAGGAAGGGGTCTTTTGAATTGGGAAGGTAGAGGTAGAGGAGGTTGGCAGGGCAGAAAACTGAAAACCCCGTGTGACCCTGTTCTCTCGTACTCCATCCTCTTCAGGTTCCTCCACAGTGGACTTACTCATTTACCAGACGCTGTGCTACACACATGATGACTTAAGGGGCGTGGATGTGGGTGACTTTGTGCTCAAGCTGTGTGGGCTGGAAGAATTCCTGCAAAAGTGAGTGATCCATCTGCTGTCCTGCTTGGTTGAAAACGGGGTCAGGGAATGTGGGTGCGAGTTCCTGGGGAGACCTGGGTGGCAGAAAGTAGTCAGGGCAAGTGAGGAGTGACAGCTAGCTTCAGTTGATAAACACGTATAAAGTGCCTACTATGTTCCAGGCACTGTGCTAAAGGCTTCCCCATTCTCCAGGCCCAGTGAGCCACGTCTCCCTCTTTGCAGGATCTCTGGCCTCAGGCAGAGCTGGCTAGATGTGTTGGCTCAATCAGAAGGAACTGGAAACCTGGGCTGGGCAAATATTAAGCCTCGTGTTCCCAAACCCATGGAAATAGAGAAGGAATGGGTGTGGCAACTACATCTCTTATTTGGGGATGAGACTTCCTGCCCTGAATTGGCTATGGAGTCTTTGCAACCAGGATTGAGGCCAAGGGCTCCCAAGGGATTAAGTCCAAGTGTCCATATGGAATAGGGGGAGAAATTTTTCTGCTTTACATTGTTATGCCTCTCTTTCCATCCCCACAAAACTTCTTCCCATGTAGAGCTAGGTGAAACAACAGATGAAGTGTTGAACTAGGATTCAGAAATAGCTGGCTTCAGCTCTCGTTTCAGACACTTGTTAGCTATGTGATCCCAAACAAAGAGTGTAACCTTGCTCAGCCTTGGTTTCTTCATCTGTGAAATAGGGATAATAATAGCACCTACCTCTCAGAGTTGTTGCAAGGCTCAAATGAGATAACATGTGTAAAGTTCTTTACAAACTCTATATAAATGCTAGCTATTGTTATTGAGCACCTGACACTTCTGACCCCTTTAATATCCCCTGCACTTTGGAGATAACATGTATAAATGAGGTAACATGTATAAAGTTCTTTACAAACCTTAAAACTCTATATAAATGCTAGCTATTATTATTGGTGCAGTGGACAGAGTACAGGGCTTGAAGTGAGGAAGACTCATCTTCCTGAGTTCAAATCTGACCTCACACACTTATTTAGCTGTATGACCCTGGGCAAGTCACGTCACCCTGTTTGCCTCAGTTTCCTCATCTGTAAAGTGAGCTAGAGAAGGAAATGGCAAACCACTCCAGTATCTTTGCCAAGAAAACCCCAAATGGGGTCACAAAAAGTCAGACACAACTGAAAAACTACTCAACAACATTATTATTATTCTTATCATTGTCATGTAGATGGGGTATCTTTATTATTGGAATCTATCTCTAGTTAATTTTTATCATATGCTTTCTTTAAAAAAATTTTAAAATATTTGTATTTCATTAATTCAATTATATGTAAACAATTTTAGCATTCTTTTTAAAAAATTTTGAGCTCCAAATTCTTTCTCCTTCCTACCCCTCCCCCGCCCTTGAGAAGGCAAGCAACATGATATCAATTATACAATATCATATATTTTCAAAAGCAGCCTCCCTAGCGTAGACAATCTGATTTGGACCTAATGAAACAATTCCATTCTCTGCTCCTTTTGGGGGTTTGGTTTTCCTTGGCGGGGGAGCAGTGAAACCATGGAGGGCAATCAGTCACTCAGCAGCCATTTATTAAATGTTTACCTTGTGCCAGGCACTGATCTGGGAGGCAGATTGGGGATGGGGAAGGTGGTTAGTCTGTCAGCTGGCATTTATTAAGCATCTACTGGGTGCCAGGCACCGTGGTAGGTGCTGGGGATACAAATAAAAAGGCAAAAAAAGGGGGATCATAGTCTAATGGGGGAGACAATATGCAAACAGCTAGGTACAAACAAGATGTATACAGGATAAATTGGGGTAATCTCAGAGAAAAGGCACTAAGAAAGGAGGACTGAGGAGAGGTAGATGGGGGAGGGGAAAAGAAGAAGGTTGGGGAGTTTATATATTCTCAGCATATATGCAAATCTACCCCTCCCCCAAGGACTACTTTTTCCTGTAAGCAATTTCATTTTTATATTCTGTCATTCAAGATGAGCAGACTGGGAGACAGCAAGATTTGGGAGTGGGCAGAATTCACAGGGCCTGAAGTCTCCCCACTTCCATTTCTCTATCTTTTTCACTAAAGAGCTAGTAACAGCAAAGATTGTTCTTGTGGCTGCCCTCCAGGATGGGTGACTAGGACTCATGGCTTTGTAGTACCTCTGCTACCTTACTTTGCCTTCCCTGGGCCTCTTGTTCCCATCTCCAAAGTGTAGGGGATATTAAAGGGGTCAGAAGTATCAGGTGCTTTTAAACTGGAGAAGCATGAAAGGAGGTTAGTACTTCCATTCTTTCCTGGGAAGGCACCAGACTGACGCCACTCCCATGGGGTACAGCCCTTCCCTTCCTGGGCTTGGGAAGGCACTGCCCCTCCCTCAACCCCTGGGGCCCAAAAGCATGGCATCAACCTCGAAGAGAGGAATAGGTAGGTACTGGGAAGGTAGTCAGGCTCTTGACCTTCAGCCAAGTTGATCTGGTTTGGATAGAATCACTCTCTGGACTTCTCCCAGGTCTCTTCCCATGGTGGCCTCTGCCACTGGCATTTTTCTGCCTTCCCTGCTGAGATGCTAGGTCTGGAGTGAAACAATGACTACAGCATTTGTTCAGGATTCAGGCCAGAGCACTGGACAGAAGAGTACCCAGGAAGCTGCCTCTGGCTCCTTCAGTTCTTTTTTCTTCAGAAGAACTTATTCCAGGGATTGTAGGTGTTTGTCTGGCCTATTGGGAAAAATGGGGCATGTGGGAAAATGGGGAGCAGAACGAAGAACCAGTCCTCAAGCAGCCCTGACTGAGTCCTAGCCCCACCTCCCTTAGCAGCTGCCTTCCAGGATGCACGGAACTCCAAGATAAGAACTTGGAGCCTGGCTGTGGGGAGGAGGGCCGGGTTTCCTGCTCCCCACCTCCCTCTTCTCCCCACCTTCCTTCCTTCCTTCCTCCCAGGATACTCCCTCCCTCTGGCCACAGCCTGCCTCCGTACCTTGCTTTGGCTCTAGGCTAATCATGGAGGATTCAGGAATAATGGCCCCGGAGACTCAGGGTCTTCCAAGATTACAGTCCATTGAATAGAGTGAACTTCAGGGTCCTAGCCAGGTCCATGATGGTTTCTGACCTTGGACCTACCATATTTCTCTACCTCCTCTTCCATGAAAGTTCTTTCCAGGCCCTTCCCCACCCCTACCTTTAGTCAAGGTTTCCAGATGTGTTGAGGAAGGAAATCCCAAGCCCTTTCCCACCCCCCCACTTCTAGTCAAGGTTTCCAGATGTGTTGAGGCAGGAAATCTCCTTCCACCTTCTGTTATCCAGCTGTTGAGATCAGCTGAGCTGGAGCCTGAGCTGGGGTTATTTCTTGATACCTCTCCCCCCAACATTTCTCTCTACTCTGCCACTGACCTGTCACCTCCTTCCACTAAGAGGGAGGGCAGGCAGGAATGGGGTATGGTGAGAAGGGAGGTGCCGGAGCCCATTTCCCTGGTACCCTTCATAGTCACAGCTGCTGCTGCAAACCCGGATAACCTCCCTTACTGGAGGGAAGGGTTAGAAGAGGGAGGAGGCTACTGTATGTATAGCAGGAAAGAGATGGAGGTGGGAGTTTTGGAGGAAGTCTGCTGTATTTGCTCCGTTAGTCATGAATTGGGCAGGATCCCCCAGGGACTAACACTCTTTTTTGATTGGCATACAGTTTAGGGCAGGGAGGACAAGCTGCTAACTTGGTGATGTGGCTTTTTTTGGCCTCTCAGCTCCTGTTCTGTGTGTACTATAGTTAGGCTGGGAAGCCTGGTCATGGGGGTTTGGGGGCATTGTGGTGCTGAACACTAAGACCCCGTCAGTCTCTGTGTTTCCCTTTCCCTGCCCTTCCAAGTACCACAGGGCTTAGGGACTGACCAGACTCCCCTCTATAACTCGTTGTGCCCTCGGCTCTAAGCCTCCTATTTCTACCCTGCTGAATGAGCAAAGGCTAAATATACAGATAATAAACACCTAGGAAATGAGGTTTCAGGGCTGTAAAAACCAAGGCTTCAGTACATTTTAGCAGGATTGTGAGAATCAAGTGAATGTGTATGTTTATGTTTATGTTTATACAGAAAGACCTGGCTGTCAGTGGTTAGCCCTCTCCCTTACTCAAAAATTATTTTGTATTTATTTTGATGTATTTTTCTGTTTACTTCTCTGTGTATTTTTCATCTCCTCCCATCCCCCATCTTGAAATGTAAGCTCCCTGAGGGAAAAATGTTTTTGTCTGTTTTCTTCATGCCCATCAGGATGGGTAGCACTTAGTAGGTGCTCAATAATTGCCTGTTCAATTGAATTGAAAGACCTCCATTTCCCTTTTTCCAAGCTGCTATGACATTTCCTCAGGGACCAAGTTGGGGGTAAACAGAAGCTCCCTTGCTTGGCCCCTTTTTTTCTCTCCCTAAGGCTAGGTTATGTAGCTTTCTCTGGCACTGAGGTCTCTTTGCTGAGGAAACCTGCCCCATGTCCTTATTGATGGTTTTGTGATAGGTAGGTGGCATTGTGACAGCTAGGTGGCATTGTAGATAGAGTGTTGAGCTTGGAGTTTAGGAAGATCTGAGTTCAAATCTGGCCTCAGACACTCACTAACTCTGTGACCTTGGGTAAGTCACTTAACTGCTGTCTGCCTTAGTTTGCCCAATTGTAAAATGGTGCTCATAATTGCACTTACGACCCAGGGTTGTTGTGAGGATCAACTGAGATAATATTTGTAAATCGACTACTATTGTTCCCTTCTCCTTCCTTCCCTCCACCTCACCAGCAAACATGCCCTGGGCAGCCATGAGTACATTCAGCAGTGTCGAAAGTTTGACACTGACATCCGGCTACAGCTGATGAAGCGCAAGGAAGTTCGGACCGACTTGGCACGGACTGTGAGTGGGCAGTTGGGAGGGGATTGAGGTGGGAGGATGTAGTGGATGAGAGTGCAGTGCAGAGTTGGGGGTAGGGGTGCAGGGATGAAGAGGGGTCATGTGGAGGGACAGTGGAGGAGGGTTATTGCCTAAAGATGGGGACCCTGCCTATTCCACTCAGATGAATGATGACCAGAGCCCATCCACCTTGAACCACTATATCCACCTTCAAGAGAGGCCTGTCAAGCAGACCATCAGCAGGTGAGAGAGGGTGGACTCCTGGGAAAACAGATATGGGACAAGATGGAGCAGCTTAAGACACCTGTGCTTCCCCATTCATCATGTACTAAGTGCAAAGCACTGTGGTAGGCGCTGGAGGAAATAGATAAGATCTGGTCCCTCTCCATATGGATCTTACAGTCTATTGGTCAACTCCCTCCAAACTAGAGGAAGCTCTGATATTAGCACTGAATTGGATTGTGGGGGAAGGAGCCCCCCTCCGAGATTTATTATATCTAGCACTCACTCCTTGTGGCTTCTGTTCTTCCCATACCTCTCCAGTTCCTTTACCTTTGCTACGCGGGATGGGGAAGTGGCATGTCTTCCTTCTATCTTTATGGGATTCAGAAGAGGTAGGGGAAAGTCAGAAAATTTGGGGATTGTGTGTTACAAACTCTCCCAATCATGTTCCCCCTGGTCCTGGGAATTGTAGAACTCTTTTGGGGGGAGGGAGACTTACTATGTCTGCCCTGATCTTTGCTATTTCTCTCCATCTCCTTTACCCCAAATCCCCAGGCAGGCCCTGAGTCTTCTCTTTGATACCTTCCATAATGAAGTGGATGCTTTCCTGCTGGCTGAGGTGCGTCTGTGTAGGTTCTGGATGAGGTTGGGGGAAAATCTCCCCTCTTAGCCTGTACTCCTAGGTCATTTGAATGCTCTATCATTCTAGATTCCAGAGGATCTGGAGTTATCCTTCTAGGGGGACCAGAATGGGGTGGAGACCCCTCAGTTCAGAGTTGGGGACCTTCTTTACGGTTAGAATAGCTAGAATTCTGAGTTGGCATAAATAGGACCAGAATTCTTCTGCCTGCCTAGAATTTTGGTTCTCACTGGTAATTCTCCAGGGCAGTAAGAAAGTGTCCTTAAAGAAATGATACTACTATCTTTTAGTCATCGGGCAATCACTGACTGTCTATCCCTTACTTTCTTCATCTATAAAATGAGAGGGTTGGACACAGGATAGCAACAACAGCTAGAATTTATATAGTGCAAGATCTGCAAACCTCTTTTACATTCAGAGATATAATAATAATGATGATAGTAACAACATTTATGTAGTACTTTTAGGTTTGCAAATCACCTTCCATGCACTCTCTTATGTGATCCTCATAGAAATTCTGGGAGGTAGGTTCCATTATTATGCCCATTTTACAAAGGAGGAAACTGAGACAGTATTTAAACCCAGGTCTTTCTTATTCCAAGCCTACCACTCTATCCACTGCCCAACAATAGCTGCCCCAGCTATTATGTCAGGCATAATTTAGTTTGACCTCATAACTTCAGCAAGTCAATGCATATGTCTAATCCTCATTTTCCTGACCTGTAAAATGGGAATAATAATATTTGCACTATTGATCTTAGGACACTGTTGTGGGGAAAGCACTGTAAGCCTTAACATCCTAAGGAAATGTGTGAACTCAAGATGAAGAATCACAGAATTTGTTTTGCCTTGCCCATGAGACCAGTGACTTAGACAAGCCACTAGCTTGTCTAGAGTACATGGTAAATGTTACGTGTAATGTTGTGGGTAATAAAGTTGAATGAAGTTAGAGAGGTAGAGTTATCTAATGGAATAAGTGCTAGATTTACAGTCAGGAGACTCGGGTTCCAGTGCCATTTCTGATACTTAATTAGGCGTGTGAACATAGGTGAATCATTTACCTTCTCTGTGCCTCCATTTCCTCATCTGTAAAATGAAAGATTTTGTTGCTGAGTCATGTCTGACTCTCCATGACCCCATTTGGAGTTGGGTTTTTTTTTTTTTTTTAGCAAAGATGTTGGAGTGGTTTGCCCTTTCCTTTTCCAGCTCATGTTACAGGTGAGGAAACTGAGGCAAAGAGGATTAAGTGACTTGCCCAGAGTCACACAGCTAGTAAGTGTCTGAGGTCGTATTTGAACTCAGGTCCTCTTGACTATAGGCCTAGCATGCTATCTACTGTGCCACCTAGCTGCCCTAAAATGAAAGGTAATATGGACCATCTTCTGCTCAGAGCCTTTGCTGAGCCCCATAGCTACTAGAGCTGTCCCTTCCAAATCATCCTATGTGCATTTTATAGATTTTGTAATATGTATACATAATATACATATACATCTATCTGTAGTGCAATATACGTATATGTATAGATATAATTATACCTATCTCTCCCTTCTTCCCTTACTTTATTGTGTACGTATACAATACATATAGACATACACACACATATAGACACAAATACACATTCAACACATATGTATGCATATATGGGCAGCTCAGTGGCAGGGCCCTAGACTCAGGAAGACCTGAGTTCAAATCTGGCCTCAGACACTTAATAGCTGTGTGACCCTGGGCAAGTCACTTAACCTTGTTTGCCTCAGTTTCCTCATCTGTAAAGTGAACTGGAGAAGGAAATAGCAAACCACTCCAGTATCTTTGCCAAGAAAACCCCAAATGGGGTCACGAAGAGTTAGACATGACTGAAATGACTGAATAACAACATGCATACACCTGCATATATGCATACATGTATACTGATACAGATACAGATATACCTACATATGTTAATATATGCACGTATCCTTATGCATATACACTTTATACATACATATACACACACATTACAGATATACATCTTATTTCTCCCATTTGAATGTAAATTCCTTGAGGGCAGGTATTTCATTTTTGTCTGTATTCTTCAGGTTTAGTGTGGTGCCTGGCCCTTAGTAGATACTTCTGGTTTAAATGATTAAAACACTGTGTAAACCTTGAAGGGGTATATAAATGGGATATTATTAGAAGACTTTGAATAACCTTTATAAGTTGGTCCAATTCATGTTCCCCTCCTATCTGATTTCCCTGGAAATTTGTCACCTCGAAGAGTTGGGGAGGAGACCCCAAATGCATTTGCTTGCTATAAACCAACAACTGCTTTCTCTGAACCGAGGAATATTGGGTGGGGTCACCCTAAAGTGGGTTTAGGGGTAAGTAGGCATGGGCAATTCCAAAGTGGTGGGCTGAAGAGGTTTTAATTGGCTGAATGACGTTTGAAAACAATTTGCAGGGTTCACTAGTATGTCCTGACGGCCTGAAAGTTGCCTGTCTCCTCAAATCAGCTTCTCTTGAAACTAAGGGAATGGGGTAGCATGGGGAAGAAAGGGAAGTTGTCTGGCCCTTTTTCCAGCTTCCCTGTGTCGCTTCTTGCAGGGGGATTTCCCACTGAAGGCTGAAAGGGTGGTCCAGTCTGTCAAAGCCATCTGCAATGCCCTGGCTGATGTGGAGTCCCCAGAGATCACCAAGGCCCTCAACCAGTTGCCACCTTGCCCCTCTCGAATGCAACCCAAAATTCAGAAGGTAAAGGCACGGAGGAAGGGCGGGGGCTCCTGGGACCTGGGCAAACTCCCAGGATGACTAGATGTCTACTTTTTAAAGTACCTCTCCCCCCCCACCCCCGAAACACTTCAAGAGGGGAAGCCAATTGCTATTCTTGTTGGAGGGTGAGAACAGGACTACTCACTGCTCTACTCCTCACTCACCCCAAGGCTGGTCACTGTGAGTCCAGCGTGACCAAATGCTTTGTTTGCTGGAGAGTTGGGCACTGCCAAGCAGCTTTCTAGTAGGGCTTCTGCAGAGTCAGGCTATGTCACTAAAGTGGGAAACGGAGTCTGTCCTTGAAGAAAGGGATGCTTTACATTTTTGTGCTGTGATGAAAAGTCTTTCCCCAGAACCATGAGCTGCTCTCACCACCCCTGTCCCACAACTCTTTCAATGATTGATTTACTAATTTCTCCCTCCTACCTTCTTCCCTTCCTTTTACTGTCTGTGTTCCACCCTGTATGGTAAACCTCCACTACAGACCGGGGTGGGGGGGGGAGGGGGATGGCCACATCCCCTATGCTGTAAGCCTTGAGCAGCTTGCTGTACGTTTTTGCCTGGATCACAGTAGGCATCTGTACCTTCTCAGGGCCAGGAGGCCTGAGTCTACCCTCTGTCCTGGAAATGCTATGGTCACTTTTTGGAACTTTGATGATCATCTTTGAAAGATTCACCCCCCCTCCCCAACATACCTCACCCCAAGTGTGTCTGTCCATCTTTTAAACCTCTCAGTGTCCTATTTTTTCTTCTTCCTGAGCAACCACTGCTCTTCAGATGATCGTATCTGGTGGCAGCTGGGGGTGCCTGGGAAGGATTTGCCTCTTAGCTGTGGCGAAAAGGCCACGGCACTGAAATGAGCCTTCTCTCTTCCTCAACAGGATCCAAATGTCCTGGCTGTGAGGGAAAACCGAGGTAATAAAGCTGGCTGCAAGTTTTTTCCATCTGCCTCTTAGGGAAAAACACCCTTACCTAGTGTGCCTTTTTTCCCCCAGTTTATTTCAATATTGTGTGTGTGTGTGTGTGTGTGTGTGTGTGTGTGTGTGTGTGTGTGT